ACAGCTATGCCGAAGCGCATGACGATGAAGCCCCCTACAAAGCTGCCTAGGCTGCCACCACTCTCATAGAGGTGACCTCGGAACATGGTGCCTAGAGACCTCTCCACGCCAGAGGTGGACAGGTCCTCTACGGAAACCCCCATGGCCCACCACAGAGCCCCACTGCTGAGGGCACTCAGGATCTGGACAGGTAGGACAGACCACCAGCTCCAGGTGAAGGAGTAGTACAGTAGCTGCAGGGCCAGGCAGCCCAGCCCCAGGCCCAGCACACCCACCCGCGACAGTTTCCTAAGCAACCAAGTTCTGAACGGATGAAACAGAATTTCTCCTAGTAAGCTGAGAGCCACCGAGAAACCCATCACCAGCTCGCTGCTGCCATGGTCCTTCATGTGCCAGAACAGAAAATTCTGCACCGTACTGGCAGTGGCTCCTATCCAAAGGACAGTGAAGGCCAGGAGGATGAGGCGGGCGTCACCCCGTACGAGGGACAGTGCTTTGATGGTTTTGTAGCTGGGCCCCCGTTTCTGGTCGATGGGGACAGGAAAGGCTGTGCTCACCGCTAAGGCCAGAGTACTGAGTAGAGAGTAGCTGTAGAAATGAATCACGCCCCGAGGACCATTGGTCACCAGGAAGCATTCCAGATGCCCCACCAAGGCTGCGATGCCACACACACCTGCTGACATACCCAATAATCTCCAGAGCCACAAGTCTCTGTTCCGGTCAGTGGCGTCAACAAAATCCAGGTATTCGTAAAGACTGTCATCTGCTACTTGTACCAGAGGGGCTGTCAGCAGTTCCCAAAATACCACAAACCCCAAGGAGAGGATGAAGGTCCACTGCGGCCCTTTCGAGGAGTGGTTGAGGGCCTGGGCATCTCCCTGGGTCTTCAACAAGTCGCCTGGACTTCCAAGGGCTGTACTTTCAGGAAGTGAATCCAGGGTAGCATTGCCCACCTCAAAAGTCCCTTCCTGGGAATTAACTCTCAACCCAGAAGTGACTGGATGGCGAGCTTGGGTAGTGATCCTGGCGCCTGCAACAGAGCCAACTAAATAGGCCTGCAGGCCGCCCAGTATTCCTTCTTGATTTTTACCAAATTCGTTTGGAAAGCCAGACGTGTCCAGGGCTCTGGTGTGTCTGCTGCCAGGGAGGCTGGGTGTTCCTGCCCAGTGGTTTGGGACTGACCCCTGGGCGGAGGTCATGGTCACAGTTCGTGTGACTCCCAGTGGTAGGACAGTGGAGACCACTCTGTTGCTTCCATTACAAAAGTGATTGCCGGGATTTCTGTCCACCGGTGGGATGAGGACCATCAGGAGGCTGGCTCCCGCGGAGCCCAGCAACGAGCCAGTCAGAAACATTCTCCTTTTGTGGTAGCGTTTGGCCAGGAAGGCACAGAAGGGAGTCCAGCAGGCGGCGACCAGGTGCTTGGTTCCCATGAGGACGCCCACCCAGGGTGCGGCCACACCCAGTTGCCTCAGGTAGAGGGTCAGGAACGGGGTCACACAGGCATCCCGGACCCCGCACACCAGATGGAAGAGCCTGGCCACCCTCAGTGCCCTGGGGACGTCCCATTGCGGGTTGGGGCTCATGGCTGCCGGATTCCGTCAGACCCAGAAGGGCACAGGACAGAGCTGGATGTGGGGCGCGCGGGACTCCATGTCCCGGGGAGGGAGGATCACGGGCTCAGGGTTCCGAGCAAATCCGACTGCGTCTCCAGCCCCCGGCGTCGCCTCCGGTCACCTGGCCAACGGCTGCTTTACTCCCCTACGTCCGGCCACCCTCCCGGAAGTGGCCCCGCCCCAGGAGTGAGGCATGGCGGGGGCGGAGCCCGCGCACCTGTTGTCAGCACCTACTGCACCTGCGCCCCACCTGCGCCCCCATGAGTAGCATCATGTGATGCCCGACGCGTTCGGAGCTTGACCATTGGCCTCTCCCGGCTCCTGGACTGCCTCAGGCATGAGAAACTGTCAAGGATCAGGATAGGAGTGAGGCTGGGAGAAGAATGGGGTGAATGACATCCGCACATCTCTCTTCCTCAAGTCTGTTCAGAGGAACACTGGTCAGTGGCCATCCAGAGTTGGCCCTGTCACACCTCCCCTCCCCTGCTTTGCTCTTATCAAGGACACTTTTGTCTATTGTCCTTCTGTTCACCTTATTGCTCCCAGGCAGGCAGCTGTTATGGCTCCCAGACCATAGAACTATTGTACCACATGTAAACAGCCCCCAGAAGAGGTGTGATCTTGGGTCATACTAAATATACACCCCCCCCCCAGAGGCATTTCCTGTCTCACGTGAACAAAGAAAAATTCTAGTGCTTCAAATCATTTGGGATTGTATCATAGGCCAACCATCTAGCTACTGATTTAGTGATTTTTTTTATTCTCATACCCAGGGCCTCCATGTAGTCTAGTCAATCATTCAACCACTGAGCTCCATCTCAGTCCTGATCTGGTCAGTGTTCCATTCAAGGCTTGCTCATTATACCTAATTTGACTGTGAATTGGAGGGTGTGGGTGTTTGCTGACCAGTATGTATGTGTAGTTGAATTTGATTCAATAATGGCTTTCACTGTAAACTGGTAGACAGCCAAGATCCCCAGCACGTTCACCTAACCTTCCTGGCTGATAGGCTTGTAATGGTTACTTAAAAACTTGGGATTGCTAGCTGGGTATGGTGACATATGCCTGTGAGCCAACACTTGAGGGTGGAGGCAGGAGGGTAGTTCACCTCAGCCTCAGCTGTGTGAGATCTTGTTTATAAAATTAAATAAAAACAAAACAAAAACCCAGCTGATTAATGGTGTGTGGTGGCTTGGTCATATAATCACATCATTTGGAGCTGGAAGCAGGAAAATTAGTTACCTGAGACCCTGTCTCAAAAATATCAACCAAAAAATTAACCAAACCACACACACACACACACACACACACACACGCATACACACGCACGCACATATGTGCATACACACAATTATTGTGAATGTTCAAACTGGTATGAAGCTGTTCACATGACCTCAGTACAGAAAAATAAAGTCCCAGCGCAGACTCAGCGAGACTGTCATCATTACCAGTCTCAAACCATTGAGATGCCCCCAGCCTGCCTCCTTCAGCTGTCAGACATTACCCTCACTTGCCAAACGTCACACTCTTTCCCACAGCTGCACTGGGCTTGTCTGTGTCTGCCCACCTGAGAAAATGTTCCCTGCTTCCCATGCCATGGGGGAGCAGAGACTTCCTGTAAGCCCAGACTGCTTTGGGCCAGTCTATTAAGATAACCTCAGAGCCCTACTTCTGTCCTTCTTGGTTTGAGAATGGGCCCAGGGACTTTGCCCCATTCCTGGGATAATGAGGTCAGAGGTCAAATGCCAGAGCCATCCCCCATCCTGTATTGATTTAACGAGACAGTTCCCTGTACACTCAGATATTTGAACACTTGGTCCCCAGTGGGTGGCATTGTTTGGGGAAGTTTAACAGGCTTTGCTGATGGAAGTATGTCACTGGGGTTAAATTTTGAGAGTTTAATTTTGTTTGCTTTAAGACAGGATCTCATGACCAGGGGTGGTGATGCATGCCTTTAATCCTAGAGAGAAACCCTGTCTTTAAAAAACAAAACAAAACAAAACAAAAAACCCTCTACCCCCAAAGAGAAAAAGTCCCTACTAGGCCTCTATACTACCTCAGGCATGAGAAACTGTCAGGGTCCAGAAAAAAAGACCGGGCTGTCTCAAAACAACAACCAACCCACCCCAAAAAGACCAGGCTAGCCTCAAACTCACAGAGATCCACCTGCCTCTGCCTCCTGAGTGCTGAGATTAAAAGCATGCGCCACCACATCTGGCAAGGGCTTTGAGAGTTTAAAGCTGTCTTCCTTTGCTGTCTCTGCTTCATGCTTGTCTCTGAAGATGTGAACTCTTGGTTTCTGGCTGCTATGCTCGTTGCTTGTTGCCATTTCCTCTCGCTGTGATGGATTCATATTCCTCTGGAACCATGAGCCAAAATAAACTATTTCCTCGGTTGCTTTTGGGTCATAATGTTTTCCATAGCAACAGAAGAGGAAGCAGTATAGACTCCCGATTTCAAAGGGATCTGCCACCTTCTCTCTCACTGTCCTATGGGACTCATTCGAGCTGACAGGAAGGGACTTGGATCTAAGCCCCTTGGACTTGCTCTGTTTCTCTCCCACCCTGCAGCTGGTGACGCGGCCCAGAACACTATAGCTTTGTCCCTGATCTTTTGTCCCTGGATATGTGTAGTGACATTTCATTTGTATTTTAATAACTAAAGCTTTCCTGAAGGTCGGTGTAAAGCAGCCACACTTGTCAGCCATACAAGTGAGGAGGTGGTGGCACACACCTCTAACCCCAGCAGCCATGCTAGTTAGCATAGAGACCAGGGGTGGTGGTGCATGCTTTAAATCCCAGCACTAGAGAGGACTATGAGGCCGGAGGAGACAGGAACTCACTCAGTTTCAGTCAGAAGATTTCAAAGAGGTAAGAGCTCTCTAGTGGCTTGGCTGCTTTTTGCTTTTCTTCAGGTTGAACCCCAATATCTGTCTCTGGGCTTTTATTATTCATGTTACAGATGCACAATTTTTTTTTACTTGAAATGTCAACTTTTAAAAAAAAAAATTCTTTAATTCTGGTTTCCCTGAAGCTGCCCTGAATTCCTGCTTCTACCTGGGAGAGTCCTGAAGTTAAGAAAAACTAGGTGATGAAAGAGTAGGGGGCCAGACCACAGCAGTGGATATGACACGGAACTGTTGCCTGGCCTAAGAGAATCCATTCAGTTAGATTAAGTTCTGTCTTCTGACATCTTTTGCAGTACAAATAGGGCCACGGGAATGGCAAAGGTGATTGCCGCCAAGCCTGACGACCTGAGTTCTGTTCTGGGACCATACCATGGAAGGAAAGAACAAATTTCTACAAATTGTCTTTGATATATTTATACATACATACATACATACATACTGTGGCACACACGCACATACACATACACACACAGAAACACTTTAGAGTGCTTTTATTGATGCTGTCATTTTCTTCTCTACTGAGACGGATCCGCCTTAGTAAGGGTGAACTGTGACCTGAGAGCTGGAAAGGAAGGTACAGGCTCAGCAGGAAGCAGCACAGTGTCCCTTACTTACTTCCTGTTTCTTCCTCAGCCGCAGGACTCGGTACAAAAATTGTACCCATCAGCTCCAACCCCTTTTTAATGGTGCTGGGTCAAGCCCAAGGCCTTCCATGTACTAAGTAAGTGCTCTACCACTGAACCACCCAGCTATACCTGCAGCCCTTTGGCATGGGTTTGCAGGACTCCCTAGCGAGCCTAAATTGGCTTGAGAAGTAGGAGAGGAACATCAGCACAAAAATGATGTTCTGGAAGAAGCTGGCTTGTGTGTGCATGTGTTCATTTCATCCCAGCCTTGTCCAACAATCCATCAGCCTTGGGATGGGTCCTTCTTCATCACAATCCAGGATCTCTCAACTCTCAGGCATTCCTGCCCAGGCATTCCTGGCTCCTGGTCCAAGCAGAGCTGCCCAGTGAGGCTATCAGTCTGAGTGTTATGGGTGGATAGGTAGTGTTTCTTTCTTCTTGGGTCTGCTGCCCTGGATCCAGATCTTCTAATATCCTTCAGGCTCACTGGATGACGCCAGAGAATGTGTTGATGGGCATCAGAAGAGGACTGGATTTGGCTGTATTCTTTTCTGTCTCCTGCCCATGTGGATGGAACCCCGCCATCTTGGATTTCTGGGCCCGTGAACATGGCTCTGGGCAGGGGCCAGCCTCAAATCTGCAGTGGGGAGAGACCAGTTTGGAAGACTACCCTCAGGGACGAGACACACCCGGCACATTGAAAAGGCAGACCGATTGTTGTCCGGTACAGAGGAAGGGTCACAAAGAGGACAGAGGACAAATCAGAGAAGGAGGTCATCGTACACCAATATTCTCTGATAGGGAAGATGCTTGGATCTAGGTCACTGTGTCTTTGTGTCTACCTTCCTGGAGAAAACCTGCAAAAGTCACAAAATGGGGGTACAGGTGCTCCAAAAGGGAAGCCTTTGATGAAGAGTCAGTGCCAGCAGAGGGGCTAGAACAGGAGGGCTTGCAGGCCGTGTGCTCCTAGGAATCCTAGGAACATTTAGCACTTGCCTCAAGTCATAGGGCATGGTCTAAAACCTGCCTGGCTACAGGTACTCTGATAAGTACCCTGGGCCAAAGACAGGCAACTGTGGGAGTTTCGATTCTCCCTGTGGGAACTGGAGTCCTGGGGTAGAAGCCCCCTCACCTGACCACGTCCCTGAAAGTGCGCCGGCTGTCTTTGTCCAGCCACAGGGTCAGCAGCCTCTGGTCTTGGCTCTGGACTTGGATACTGGATGTCCGAAAGGTGTTTGTTGCTGTCTACATCAGAGAAATAGTTTATGTAAATGTTACCTTCGCTCAGCAGCCGGTCCTGCCAACACTTCCTACCTTGGGATCTGGTGTGTTTCCTCCCTCCATCCCAAGGGGTCCCTGCTCTTTTCCTGCTGGTGACTGAGCAGTGGCTACATAAACTGCCCCCATGTTCCCTCACACTCAGATGCTGCTTCGGTTCTGCAGTTCTTTCCTTGACCTGTTAAGATTCATTATGAATATAAAATAGAATGCCGTGGGCGGTACCTGGCGGGTTATCAAGCTAGAGTTTCTGCGTGTATCTTGAGCATCTCCTAGGGCAACCATATTGCTAAGTGGCCCTGGTTCTCAGCATTAAATTATATGTATAATTCTTTACCTGGGGCAACATAACCAGGGTGTCTAGGAAATTGTCAAATAAAACTCTAAGCCAGTGGGAAGCAGCCCTAGGCATCCTTCTGACTCTAGACAAAGGGGACTTCCAGAGAGGCCCTTCCCATGGAAGAGAGAACTCTGAACTTGGAGTGCCAGGAGGGCCTTGCCGAGTCCCCCACACATAGACAGGAGCTTTTGGCAGTACACAGACAGCCCTAGGTGTCAGGAAGCCTCAGAATCTGTTTCTCACAAGTGTTTTCAACCCTCGATGCTTATAATAATCACACAAGGGGCAGAAGGGTGTAAAGGCCAGGTGTTGGGGAGAACTGGGGCAAAACAGTGACCTCTGGATATGACAGGACCATTGTGCTCACAGCAGCTGTGGCTGCCTGCAGAAGACCTGCACAAGAACAAGTCAGTCCGTGTGCCAGCATGGAAGCGGAAGGGGCCCGGGTCAGTCCGTGTGCCAGCATGGAAGCGGAAGGGGCCCGGGTCAGTCTGTGTGCCAGCATGAAAGTGGAAGGGGTCCAGGAGTCCTGTGCTCCTTAATTTTTTTTTTCAACTTAACACAAACTAGAGTCCTGGAACATGTGCTCAACTATGTTCATAGCAGCATTGTTTGTCATAGCCAAAACATGGAAACTACCTAAATGCCCCTCGACCAAAGAATGGATAAGGAAAATGTGGTACATTTATACAATGGAGTACTACTACACAGCAGAAAAAACAAAAAAAAGACATCTTGAAATTTGTAGGCAAATGGGTGGAGCTAGAAAACATCACTTTGAATGAGGTAACCCAGACCCAGAAAGATAATTCACATGTACTCACTCATAGGTGGTTTTTAAACAAGAAAAAAAAAAGCCTATAGTTCACAATCCCAGAGAACTTAGACAACAGCGAGGACACTAAGAGAGACATACATGGATCTAATCTACATGGGAAGTAGAAAAAGACAAGACCTCCTGAGTAAATTGGAAGCATGGGGACCTTGGGAGAAGGTTGAAGGGGAGGGGAGAGGAAGGGAGGGGAGCAGAGCTCAATAAAAATCATTAAAAAAATCCACAAAAACCCAAACAAACAAACAAACAAACAAAAAACTAGAGTCCTGGGAAGAGGAGAATTAGTTAGAGAAGTGTTTCCATCAATTGGCCGATAGGCAACTCTACGGAGTATTAAAAAAAAAAAAAAGATTGATATGGGAGGGCCCAGTCCTGGGCTGTAGAAGACAGCAGGCTGGGCAAAGCCAGTTAAACAGCGTTCCTCCATGGTCTCCACTTCAGTTCCTCCCCTCAGGTTCTTGCTTAAATTCCTTCCTTGGCTTCCCACCATGATGGATTCTAACCTATAAGTTGAAAGAAACCCTTTCCTCCCCAGGTTGTTTTTGGCCAGTGTTTTATCACAGCAATAGAAATGCAAACAGTCCCCATCCCCCATGGAGGAGGAGCTGCAGACAGGCGATGGTTTCTGGGGTGGTGGAGAGTCAGTGTTAAGGAAGAGAGTGGCCCCAGGTAGGTCCACGGCTCCCACACCCTGGAGAATATGAGCAGCACAGAGGGATTTCATGAGTTATTGTGTGAAGAGGGCAGGCCTGGAAGAGTGGCACACGCCTTTAATCCCAGCACGTGGGAGGCAGAGGCAGGTGGATCTCTGAGTTCCCAGCCAGTCAAAGCTAAACAGTGAATGCTTAGAACAGCGTGTGGGACACAGCACTGTATTAGTGTTGGATCCTCATTACTAGTGCTGTTGTTACTGTTGGTTGTAATTTCCCCAGAAGAACGTAAGCATAAACAGTGGTCTTGGTGATGAAGGCGCTGTGTTAAGAGGAAGAAGGAAGGGGCTAGAGATTTAGCTCAGTGGTAGAGGGCTAGGCCCTGGGTTCAGTCCTCAGCTCCAGGAAAAAAAAAAAAAAACAGAGGAAGAAGGAAAACTCCTGCATATCTTTTTCTCTGTTTGTCCCTTAACCCAAACTCCTTCTCCCTACTCCCTTTCCCCTTATGTGAATCTGAACAACTGATCTGCGAGTGGAGAAGAAAGATGCCCACAAACATCCATAGATGGGAGGGGAGCAGATCAACAACATGACAGAGCCTGACAAAGGGAAGAGGAGATGCCTGGTTGCGCAGTAGAATCTGAAGCAGTCCGTGTCCCCTAGAACTCTTATCTGTGATGGAGGGGTGTGTGGGCAGGTGAGCAGCCCATGGAGCCCACTGGGCTGTAACTAGACAGTTCACCAGATGGGTGTCTGCACTGGGGAGCCTCTGGTCACCTTCCAGAAACACCCAGAGGAGCTGCAGAGGGATGAGATCCTGCATAAAGAGGGGCCTAGGGGCAGCCAGGATTAACCAGTTTATAGGCTGTGCTCAAACTGACTGTACCTGGTAAGGGAATAGGGGTCACCTAAGTAAAGAGACTGAGGTCCAATGAACTGGATGTGACCTGCTGAGTATAGGATCCTGACTCAGTGTTCTTGCCCCTGGGACCTTCAGGGTTCTTCAGGTATCTGGCAGGACCCAGACTCACACTCCAGATGACCAGAGGCCATCTACTAGCCTCCTCCCATACATCTGTCTGCTGCATTTGCCTCTGGGGTCTACATGCCAAGGCACACCCCATTTCCGGGGCTGTGGACTATGAAGATAACATGCATCTATAATGCAACTCTGGAGGCCAGTGGCAAGGGCCAGGTGCAGGTTTTGCAAAGGATGCCACTCCGACAGATGAAGGAACGGGCAAAACGCTCCTCTTCCCCGCTGGCATTGCGACCAGTCAAGCACTCGACCCGTCAAAGGCAAGTCCACTGAACCAGCCACAGGGCTCTTGCTGGTCCCAGCTGGGGGCACCTTCCCTCCAGCTCACCAAGAGCTTCCCCTCTGTGGCTTGGTATTTACCATCTGATGAAACCTGTCGGGGTTCCAGGAGAGGAAACACAGCTATTGGAATTTCACATAGCAAGTCAGCAAGAAATAAAAAAGGGAACATGCTGGGTTGGTTAGCTTAGATATCCAAAAGCCCCTAGCCAGGTTATTTAATGAGGTCAGATGAGCAGAGGTTAGTGGAAGGAACTGACTCCAAAAGAGAAGTTGCAGTTCAGGGTAACCAGGCCCACCTTACAGCTTCAAGCTTAAAGACCCTGTCCCATGCTAAGGCAGATTCGAGCCATCAGAGCAATTTAGAGCCAACAGAGTTCTCCTGCTGTGGACAGCTCACCTCGGAGACTTCAGTGTAGGGGTGAGATGTTGGAAGCGCTGGATGACTAGTGAGCATCCTTGAGGTCTGCTATGTGCCAGATACCCTGAGTGCTGAAAGCCCCAAATAAGGATTCGATTCCAGAGCCCCCACCCCTCTGCCCTGCCATTTACAGGGCTGCAGTGTTCCCAGAGTCTGGGAGAGAGCAAAGGTGGGGTACCCAGTTCACCAGGGAGTGGGGGTAGGGAAGATCTGGGGAAGGGAAGAGCATCAGGACGGGCTTCCCAGGTAGACAGCCCCCCACATCTCTCACAGGGTGTATGGCAGAAAGAATGTGGGAACAAGGATAACACAGCACCAAAGGTGCAACTTGTAGAACTCCCAGGCAGGGACTTGAAATTTAAAGGTTAAAAAAGTTAAAGAAAAGATTTAGGAAAACATTTCAAAACCATGAGACAAACAAAAGAATGGTGTTCTCATATAAAACAAGGCTACCATGGTGTCATTATGAGTGAGAACATAAACAGGACAAAAAGAAAGAAAGATTATCTATAAATATGAGAAAAATCAGCTTCACTAATTTAGAGAGTCAGACATCCAGCTTAAAACAATGCAGATTTTGATGATCAGATTCACAAAGATGAAACAAGTCAACTAGTGTATTGACCGCCTTCTAAAATTGATGACCACACATGGGGTGTGATACAGTGGGGTGGGGTCTGGAGACCAGTGTGGTAAAATGTCCAGATGGACGGATGCCAGCTCACCAGGGAAGGTTTCAAAGGCATAATCATGAGTGTTACCATTTGTTTACCCCTACGTGTGTTCCCCCCGGTATGCTTATAATAGTGAAAGAAGATCTTTCCATCTTACAAAAAAAAATTTTAAAAATCATATAGGTATATGCAACTATCATGAAGAAATATTTAACGACATAAACAAGATCCTATCAGGACAGATGCACAAAACTTTCATACATATGAAAAACATATGTTTTATATATATTATTTTATTTTTAAAACGGCCTCACAATGTAAACTGGAAGTTGACCTGGAACTCACTCTGTAGACCAGGCTGGTCTTGAACTCACAGAGACCCAGCTGCCTCTGCCTGCCGAGTGCTGCTTAAAGCAGGCACCACCACTCCCAGCTGACTTCCACATAGTTTTGAGCAAGAAATTACTATAGATCACTATCTATTGACTCTATCAATTATATAAAAGTATAATTAATGAAAAAACACCCAAAGTATTTATACTAAAAAAGTGTTCCTAGCTATCCTAACCATGCACTGACCTTTTGACCCAAAATAAACAATGAAACGTTTCATCTGGAGATGAAAACATTACTTTGAAATAGAGAAATGGAAGGATTGAAAAGGGCCCATTGGCTTTGCAACATGGAGGTGATTGGTGATTTGCTGCAGTGGGGGAAGCTCAAGGCAATAGCTTGTGAGCAAAGCGGCCATGGATCAGACCTCAAACTCCCAGAAGTATCTTTTTAAAAGCTTGACTGAGGCAGGAGAAAGGAACTGGTAGCCAGGGAGAAAACATGGCCAAGGTAGAGTTTCTTGTCTGTTTCTAGGATGGAGAGGAGGCCTGAGTCTGTCTGCCCAGGAAGGAGCAGGAAAGAGGGAGAGGTCACAGGCAGAGAAAGAGAAAAGAGACTCCAAAGACCACCAGGAAAGAGACTGACTGACATCAAGGCTCCAGGTGAGCAGGAGTTTGTTGGGGTCTGGTCAGTGTGGGTGCAGGATTCATTTCAGAAGCTATCTGCACACAGCCTGTCTGGTGGATGGTGCCCAGGAGTCCATGTCGGCGAGAACACTGTTCAGGTGGGACCGTGGGGCTCTGACGTCAACTTAAGTGTAAGTGAATTGAGAGAAACTGTCAGAGGGGGGACATGGGGAGTCTCATACCTTGATCACTAAATATCAGTTCAGTCAAGGCAAAGCCGAGGAGCAAGAGTGTGTGTGTATGTGTGTGTGTGTGTGTGTGTGTGTGTGTGTGTGTGTGTGTGTTCACATGAGGGTGAGAGAGCTGCATGGGTGTCGTCTGTCCTGGAGGAGTCTGGTTGCAGGGCCGTGACTGGAATGACACAGGTGGGCAACTGTGGTTGTCAAGGATGTCTTAGTCCTCAAATGGGCTGCAGATGGAAGACTCGGTGCCCTTCTTATACCTGCAGAGCCTCCCCATTTCCCACATTGATTGGAAAGTCCCACAGCAGGAGTGAAGGGTCACCAATCAGCTCCCTTTCTTTGAATCCCTTCCCGACCCTCATCCCCCACTCCCGCTGGCTCCTTCAGCAACTGCCTGTCTCCCTCTGCTTGTCCCCCTTCCTAATCCACCCGAACTCACAGTGAACGACCTTCCTGCAAGATTGGAGGACTTGACAACCTCCGTCACACTGACATGCAGACACGTGCAGTTTGTAGCAGAAGCAGCATTTGGTGAGGTGCAGTGGGAGAACCCTGAAACCAAATGAAATGGGGGGTCGTGAGTGGGAAGCTAGAGACTCAGGGTCCTAAGAAGTCACCGTAATTATGTTGGTCCTAACCACACTTTTGTTCTTTCTTCCTCTCCCATCTCCTTCCCTGGAGAATCAACTAATTTTCTGAACCCCTGGTGATCACCACTCCATGTCCCAGGGCTCCATATTGAGAAAATGATCTTACTGTGTAGCCCTGGGGCTGGCCTGAAACTCAGATCTGCCTGCCTCTGCTTCCTGAGTGCTGGGATTAAAGGCATGCACTACCACACTGGGCTTTCCTATTTTTGTATTTTTTTTAAAAATTCATTCAGTAGTGTTGGGAATTGAAACCGGGTCTCAAATGTACCAGACAAACATTTTATCAGCAAATCACATCCCTAGTCCCCACCCCACCCCACTTCTTAACAGTGTATCAAAAAGTCAGGGTGTGTGACCACTGTCAGGCTGAAGCTCTCTCAGCCAGCTAAAGATGGTGCTTACAGCAGTGTGCTTCCTGGGTGACTCTGGTCTCACCTCTGTGATGGCTCAGGGTTAGGATACAAGCGAGAGTCTTATGAAGGAAAGAGAAGGGATACAATACTTGGCCTCCCCCTTCTCTCCTCTTCCTCCTCTTCCCTCTTCCACCTCTTCTTTTTTGGCGGGGTCTCCTCTAGTCCTATCTGGTCTCAAATTTACTTTGTAACCAAAGATGACCTTGATCTGAACCCCGTGCCCCCATCCTCAGCTTGCTCAGATTAGAAGTATGTCCCACCAGGTTCACCATGGGCAAAGCTAATGTTAGTGGTTTACCGTGTGCACACAAACTAGTGTCTAGTACCTGTATTTTCTATTTAAAGATATGAAAGTCACACAGATAGCAAGAGGCAAAAAGGGTAAGGATTCTGCCTCCCCAGCTCTGCCCCTGCTCTGCTGGTCCACTGCTTCACAGCCTCCTCCAGACCCTGAGCCACTGGCAGGACGCTGACATGCTACAAGGAAAGACTGTCTTCTAGAATACAAAAGCGTGTCACAGGTCACCTAAGAGTTCAGTTCACCTGGACTTATCAGAAGGTACTGTCATTTCCAGAGCTTATTCTTTCTGTGCCAGATGCCTCTGTAAGAGCACTGATACAGGAGGTTGGGCAAGAGGATGCCACGTGTGAGACAAGCCTGGCCTACATTGCGAGATGCCGTCTCAATTTGAGACAAATTTGTGTGTATAAACATGACTTCATTTATTCAACAAATTGTTTATTGAATGCTTGTTTGTTTGTAATGGGGACTCATGATGTAGCCCAGGCTTTGAATTTATGATTTCTTTGCTTCAGCCTCCCGAGTGCTGGGATTACAGGCCTGGGCACTGCACTATTGTCCTGAGCAGCTGCTGGGTGCCAGGTACCTTCGAGGTACTGTGGGAGACTGGCGAACAGATACACTTCTGCCTACGTGAGCTTTCTTGAATTCTCAGAAATGATCTCCCCCAAGTTTGTGTGGGTCATGGCTCTGAAGCCTAAACTGTGGAATTTCGCAGAGGCACTATGGGGCAGGGGAGAGGAGCACTGAGTGAGGGTGGCTGCCTCTGAACCCTTGCAGGGGTGACCCTGAGGAAGTTTTTTTTTTCTTTGCTTCAGTTTCCTGTCAGGAAGGAGTTAGGAATACTGATAATATTGATCTCAGAGAATTCATATGCTCAAAATGAGCTTCTGCACCTAACAGAAGGCTGCTAGGCTCCTGGGAACTAGGTTTGGTGCTGGTCATCCATGTCGCCACCTCTCCTTCCTTCCAGGGGAGCAGGGAGCTCTTGTGAATGCTCATACTGAGGATGTGTAAGTCTATGTGAGCTGATTTCTTTACCGTGGCTCCATTTCATCTACTCATTTATCTCTATTTTGGAACAATATGTAAAGGCCAACATTTCCCAGCAGAAAGCCGCAGGCCACATCCCAAGGCTGGGATAGTCTGGGTTGTTTGGCCATGGACCACCTGAGGGCAGGGGTCTGGCTTTACTCAAGGCTTGGCTCTTCCCAACCAGAGCTCTTTGATGGCAGGGAACTTGTGAGATCTCCACCCCACCCCCGCTTCCCCATCTCCTATCAGCCAACCCTTTTCCCTCCTCTCTCCCTGATTTTCTCCTCATCCCTCCATCTCTTCACTCTGCATTCCCAGATCCTCACCTTCAGTGTCACCGGCTGGAATGGCCTTCAGGACCAGGCCTGTGGCCCTCAGAGAAACAGTGACCTCCCGGGGCCTGTGGCTGAGCAGGGCCTGGGGATGGGAATTGAAGAGCTAAAGAGGGGGTCCTGAGAATGTGCCCTTCCTGCATCTTCCACTCTCACTTCTCCGTGCCCTGAGAGTCTCCCTGGGGTGCTGATACCAAAATGTGGGAAGAAGCTTAGACATCCCTAGTCCCCAGTGAGCCAAATCAGACTTTTAGATGGGTACCTCATAAGAAAGAAGTGGTTTGAACAAGAAACCAGCTTTCTTTCCTTTTTTTTTTTTTAAAAAAAAACTAGGTCTCACTGTGTAGCTCTAGCTGGCCTCAAGCTCACAGAAACCAACTTGCCTCTGTTTCTAGGCTTTACGACATACACCGCCATGCCCATTCAACCCTCTAATTTCTTAGAGCACATTGCCTTCTTGTCTGCGTGTAAGGTCAATTTCACCCTTACTCCATCCTTGCAGAATGTTCTGGAGTCTAAAAGAGTCCGAGGATATCATCAAGGAAGGATGTGTTTGGCTCTGCTGCTGGCTGGCTTTCATTAGCCATGCCACCTGGGTCTCTGCTGACTGTGCCAATGACACTGACCTTTTGGTAGCACACAGACAGTTCAGCTCCTGTGCCTTCAGCTGTCCCTTTCCTTCGGGGTGAAGATCCCTCTGAGGGGAGATAAGAGGGTGTATAAGGTGAGATTCCCTCCCCCATGTCGCTGAGGCATAGCTGCTGAATAGACCTGGCAGCTGTCTCTGGGTGGAGAGGTGGCATCTTGGGGAGACTGCCTTTCAGTCTGGGGGTGCTCCAAGGTAGAGAGGTAAGTGTGGCCCTAGCATTCAGCAGAGGCTCATGATATAGCAGGGCGACCATAAGGGTGACATCTGGTGAGAGGCAAGAGAGTGAGTGTAGGGGAAGCTGAGCCAGGGTGAGCTCTGGGGAAAGGGAACAGAAGCTCACCTTTGGGGGACTTGGAGTCTTGGATCTTCACCTTCAGCTCCGTGAGGAAAATGTCCTCTGTAGGGTCATGACTCAGGTTGGTGAAGATCTAGAGACAAGAAGAAGCAGGGAGGGAGGGAAAGAGGGAATGAGGGGGAGGAGGGGAGAAGGGGGCTTAGAGAAAGCCTGAGGTGTCCCATCCAACTGCCTGCCAATGCTAGGTTCTAAGCTACACAGAGAGATGGCCACATCAGTCCTGACCTCTTCAGCTATGTAAGCTAAGAGATGTCCCCAGTCCTAAACTGTTTTGAAAAGTTCTTGTTGCTTGCATCTGAGTCTCTTCCCAAAGTAAAAGAATGGAGAGGAAGAATAAGGAGGTTCTGATTCTGATCAAACCTGTTTACCACAAATGGTAAAAGATACACAATCCCGGCTACAGAGGAAGAGCAAGGTCAAGTGAGCAACTGTGCAATATGGTGACTATAGTTCATAATTGCGTGTGTTCTTAATAAAAGCTACAGGAAGGTTGTGAGCATTTGTGCCATGAAATGTAAGGGCAAACTTGCCCAATTAATACAGTTTCATAGTGTGTGCATGTCATGAAAAGGCATATCATAGCCACAAAATGCATATATGTATATATACACACACACACAAACACACACACATATATAAAACTTGTATTTGTCACTTTGTTCTTTTTTTAAAGATTTATTTTAATCTGGACATGGTGGGACACACATTTGATCCCAGCACTGAGGAGGCAGAGGCAAGTGGATCTCTCTGTGAGTTCAAGGTCAGCCTGGTCTATAGGGGAGGTTCCAGGACAGCCAAGACTACATTAAAAGACTCTACCTCAAAAAAAAAAAAATGAAAATAAACAAATAGAATAGAATAAAAATAAGAAAACAAGAGATTTGTTTTTATGTGTATGAGTGTTTTGTTTGAATATATGTCAGTATTAAGTACATTCAGGGACTGGAGTTACGGACAGTCATGAACCACCAGGTGGGCGCCGGGATGGACCCCAGGTCCTCTAAAGGAGCAAGTGCTGCTAACCAGTAAGCCATCTCGCCAGCCTCTCATGCTCACATGGAACGGGAAGTAAGTGATGTGACGCCTTGCGGACGTGTATCACACATCTTGATGTTTCACGCCTTAGCCTACCAAGAGTTGGGATAACAGACTACGTTCGTCATGATGATGAATCTCCCGATAATCCAAATGCTTTATCTCTTATGTGAATTACTACCCATCTTTTCCCTGTGACATTGACTGGTACACGTTAGGTTATGAGCCTGAAACATATTTGAACAACCTGGTGAAAACAGAACCTTTGGTTATGGCGCAAAGCAGAACAAGGAAGCAGCAGTAGGATTCTGCAAGTCTAAAGGAGTAGCTGAGTCCAATTGGGTGGACAGCAGTGGGATTCTCTCCATCCCTGGCCAAGGACTCAGGAGCCCTACCCCGCAGCTTCGCTGTCTGCTGGACCCCAGCACTCAGTCCATCACATGCTTCTGCTTTAAGGTCTTGGGCAGAACAAACCCAGTTTGTAGGTGTGTGCCAGCCATGTTCTGTGTCCTGCAGTAAGAACCACTAAGAAATCTACCGTGGAAAACTAATTAACCTTAGGACAGAAAAGGAAGAAACCACGGCCTCCACAAATGGCTCCTACCTACCGGCATCAACTGATAAGACGTGGGTCATTTGGGAAACTGAGGGAAGGATTTGAAAGCTAAATTCTCTTCCATTGTTTAATGCTATCAAAGGCATGGAGCTTGAAAACACAGTAGAAGAGGAAATTGAGACTTGGAGAAAGCCTGGTCCTGAAGTTCAATGTTATGCACATCCTGAATGGGAACATGGACCAACAATTCACGGGTTCGGAACGTGGTTGTTCGGGTTTTAGGTGACCAAGGATAGATGACAGAGACAGAAGTGCTTGTCTGAGAAGGAAGGGCCAGGAGAAGGGCATCAGTCTGGTCTGGTCAAGGGCCTAGATAGAGAGGTTCATACGGAACTGGAGGAGATCCATGTGCACCAGGAGAGGCCCCGGAAGAACAGGAGTGGGTGTGGTGCGTTCTGAGCATGGACAGGACATTCGTGGGACCTAACGGTAGGAAAGTCACTCACTGAAGGGAAGGGCTTGAGGAAAGTGATGAACAGGAAGGGTCCTCTAGTGTTTTAGAGGAAGAGGAAACTGGCTGGGCATCTCCATGGGCCAGGATGAAAGGGTGCCAGATGGTCTTGGGTTCTTTTTTCCAGGTGGGCCTCGAAAGGGTGTGTGGTACGACTGGGCTTGTGTTTTGCTAGGAAGAGAAAAGGGAAACAAGGGAAGCAAACAAGGCAACAGAGTCGTTCAGACGTAGAACTGACGAGCAGGAAAGGAAAAGAAGTAACAGGTATCAAGGGGAGGCTGGATCTGAGAAGATACAGGGATCTGAAGGTCTCCAAGCGCCGGAAGAGAGGACGGTGGGAGAGCAATTGAGAGGGCCTTGGGAATGTGTAACCAGAGGACAGAAGACAGTTTAGAGCAGACTACCCCCGACTCTCAACCTTCTGCTTGAATTTGAGGGCTTCCAAGTTAGTAATGAACTGTTTTTTGCAGGTCAAAGAAAAAGTTGTTAAGAGCAGCCAGGAACTGATTTGCAGCAGTATCTCTCCAGAGCCAGAGGATTTATGTGGTGGTTAACAAGGTCCTGCAGGCTGGTATGGTACCCTGGGAACCCCAGGGGAAAAGCTTACCTTCACCTTGTAGAGCTGAAAATAGATGGGTTGGGTGCCCATGCGAACATAGTAAGTGATGACGTCCAGGATAAAGGGGTCCACAGTCCGGGATGTGTCTAGGCAGGGAGGCTGTAAGGAGCAAGGCAGTGTCTTCAGCAGCCACTCACTTCCAGGCTGCTAGGGACGCACCATTGTCTCAATGAGAAACTCCAAAGCCCCCACACTCCCCGTGATGACCAAATCTGGCCAATCCTTCAACGTGCTCCAAGCCATCCTGGCCGTCTGGTTTTTACTTCTAACCAAAATACAAATTACCTTTTTGTTTTATTTTGTTTGTTTGTTGTTTTTGTTTTTGAAGACAGGTGTCTCTGTGTAGCTTTGACTGTACTGGAACTTGCTCTGTAGACCACAGTGGTCTTGAACTCACAGAGATCCACCTGCCTCTGCCTCCCACGTGAAAGGCGTGCGGCACCAGCATCCGGCTACAAACTACTTCTAATGAGACTGCCTTTCTGGTGAGCTGGTTAATTTCATTTGCTCAGACTTACTGAGCCGTGAAGCGGTGTGCTAGCTGCCTGAGGATGTAACTAATGAGTAGAAGTTTAGGTTTGAATTGGATACTTATTATCCAGAACCCTGAGCAAAAGTTATTCAGATTTTTTAAAGCCGGAGTAATCTTCAAGGGAGACATAAGAGGTTGAACTGCATGGTGGGTGATATCCCTTTGCTCTGGCCACCTCTTATCTATTAATAAACTCACTAATAAACCAAGTGTAATCTCATGTGCCTGTAATCCCTGCCCCTTGGGCGGCCAAGGAAAAAGAATGTTAAGTTAAACTACACAGTGAGGCTCTGTCTCAAAAGGAGCAAACCAGCAATAGTCACACAGTGCTGGGGTTGGGCTCAGCCCCTTATCTTCTGTGATAGCAATGTCAATGACTGTCAGACACAGAACAGAGCATCCATACAGAACGGAGTACAGGCTGAGCACCCCTTATCAGAAATGCCTGGGGCCAGAGGTGTTTCTAACTCCATCATTTTTTCCCCTTCAAATTTTGAAATATTTATGTGTAGATGAGATACCTTGGCAATGGGGCTCAAATGTAACCATGAAATTCATTTTGTCTCATATGTACCTCACCCGCTAAACCCGAAGATAATTTCACACATTTTTAGTGTTCTTATGTTTTGACTATGACCTGTCACATGAAGATGGGTGTGGAATTTTCCCCTTGTAGAATCACGATAGTGCTTATAAATTTGTGTGTTAGAGCACTTGAAGTTCTGGATTTCCGGGTTAGGAATGCTCAAGCCATGACACTAGACTCGGCAAGAGGCTCAGATTTGTCGTCAGCATTCCATATCTAACCCCGAATCCCTTCTGACTCTCACATCTGTTTCATTGAAACAGTCCTTCAAAAAATCATGCTTGGTCAGGTGTGGTGGTGTGCACCTCTGATCCCATTGCTCAGGAGGCAGAGGCAGAGGCAGAGGCAGAGGTAGGTGGATCTCTATGAGTTCAAGGCTAGCCTAGACTATATCGTAAGTTCCAGGCCAGTCAGGACTACACACTGAAACCCTATCTCAACACTCCCCACCCCCAATTATGCTGATAATACAGCGTCCTGATAAGAAAGCATTGCTTCACAGTGTCTGCAGGCCTTTCACAAAGGCCATGCAATTGATTAACCAGAAGAAGAGTAGAAGGAAGAAGCAAATCTTTTATGTGTCCTGGTTGGAAGAAAAACTACCAGTAGAAGAGAAGAGCCAAGGCCTCCAGAGAACTGTCTCCCATAGTCTTCTCTGGCTTTCAAGGGGGAAAGCATTTTAACATCCTGCTAAACAGTCTTTTGTGCATGCGCAAAAACAAAACATCTCCAGGTGATATTCTTTTTTTTGTTTTTTTTTTTTTGTTTTTTGTTTTTGTTTTTCAAGACAGGGTTTCTCTGTAGCTTTTGGAGACTCTCCTGGAGCTCTTGTAGGCCAGGCTGGCCTCAAACTCACAGAGATCCACCTGCCTCTGCCTCCCAAGTGCTGGGATTAAAGGCGTGCACCACCACCGCCCGGCTCCAGGTACTATTCAGAAAACAAATACACACATCCAGACATCTTTGTGTGCATAAAACATGTAAGACGAAGCCCCCAATCAGGCAGGCAAGAAACACAATAGAGACCTTAATTCAGTGACCTGTCGAAAGGCAAATGTGTACTTTTTATGAAATGTTTTCACGTGTTAGCTTTTAAGAAATAGAATAAGCGAGGCAGTGGTGGCTCATACCTTTAATCCCAGCACTTGGGAGGCAGAGGCAGGCAGATCTCAGTGAGTTCGAGGCCAGCCTGGTCTAACGAAGTGAGTTCCAGGACAGCTAGAACTGTTACATAGAGAAACCCTGTCTTGGAAAACAAAACTACAACAGCAACAACTAAAAACGAGAAACAAAACAAACAAAAAATAAATAGAATGAGTAGTTTGATAATATATATAAATCAGTAGTTTCTTGTTATTTGACAGTACATTTCTTCCTCACCGTGACAAGAAGTGCACTACACAATGTGAGGAATAAGCTGAGTGAGAAATGGGGAGAAGGGTATAAGGAAGAAAGACTGTCCAGTCCCCGAAGGCATAGAAGAAAGCACTTAGGAAGTTACATTGTGCCCCCAGAGAGGGACACTTAGTATGCGAAAGGGGCTGATTCTTTCTCTTTAATCAAAATGCCAATAGGTTTTTTTTTTTTTTTTGAATTTGGTCTGGTGAGATTTTTTTTTTGAGGACCAGAGTTAGGTTCCCAGCATCTGTGTGAAGCTCACAACTGTCTGTAGCTCTAACCCCAGGAGCTCTGTGCCCTCTTCTGGTCTCCACAGGCACCTGCACACGTGTGCATGCATGCGTACACCAAATAAAATAAAAAATAAGCCGGGTGGTGGTAGTGCATGCCTTTAATCATGCCTTTAATCCCAGCACGTGGGAGGCAGAGGCAGGCGGATCTCAGTGAGTTCGTGGCCAGACTAGTCTACAAAAGCTAGTTCCAGTACAGGTTCCAAGGCTACAGAGAAACTCTGTCTCAAAAAAGCCAAAAAAAATGCAAATTCTAAAATTTATCAGGAAAGATAAGCTAGCATATCCTGAAAGGTTCTGTAATAGAGAAATAATGCTGTAGGCTTATCCTTCCAGATATCAAAATAGAATCATAATTTGCACATGCATAAATCCATGAAAGCATAGATTCCATGTTCCCAGAAATAGCATCACACAGATGTAAGAGTGCAGTCAGGGATACAAGCAGAATACCAAACGGACGAGGCAGGATGGTTTATATAACTAACAGCTTTGGGAGAGCCTGCTAAGCATTTGGGAAAAGCAAGATTACACACACACTTCAAATGAAAGATTAAAATTATTTGTGTGTGGGCTCATTATTCAATTATAAGAATCCAGACTGTAACAGTGATTGAATCCTGTGATCCAAGGCTGTAAGAGGCCAGAGCCCCAGGGCTGGTGAACCGGTCCAGGGGTGAAGTGTATTGCACACGCCTGGAGTCCCAGATTCAGTCCCCAGAAGCCATGTAAAACAGCAAAGTTGTCCACAAGAGTACTGTGGTATGCATGACCCTCAAACACACAGACAAGGAGGAGGAGGAGGAGGAGGAGGAGGAGGAGGAGGAGGAGACACTTTCAAAGGCAGAGGTCTTAAGGGATAAAAGTTCTACATCTAACAACAGAAAACAGTAAACTCTAACTAAAAAACCTAATGGGACACTGACACAGTGTAAAACCGAAATCCACAGCATTTACAGCAGTGAGCTGGTCTACATGTGAACAGCGATAGGCTCTCAAGGCAGTCGTGTGTCCCCTCTCTAGCCTGCCATGTCAGTCATGGGTAGGGATGGCAGATGCAGTCTGCAGTCAGATCCCCCGGTTCCCAGGGTAGAGGCTGGGGCATCGTAGTTTACTTTCCTGCTTTGGGCAAGTTAGCTAATCTGTTTCTGCTTCAGCTACCTGGCCTGTAAAATGGAGACACGGTATGGTGACAATGGCACTTGGGGACATCTGTCCCCACCCTTGGTGAGAACTAAACGAACAAATCCCACGGGTTCATTCTGAGGTCAGGGGTTGCATGCCTTATGTAACTGGGGTCTCATTCTGACTCCACCTCCCTCCTCATCTGAGCTTTTAAAAAATTTTCCACCTTCATTCATGCCCCTCACACTCCTCTTACCCTCTCCTTCCCCTCTCTTCCCCTCCCTCCCTCCCTGCCTCCCCCCCTCCCCCCCTCCCGCCCTCTCGCACTCCTCCCCCTCTCCCTCCCTCTCTCCGTCCCTCCCTCCCTCTCTCCCTCCCTCCCTTCCCTCCCTCCCTCCTCGCTGTTCCTACCATCTCGGCCAGCTTGAGGATGGCAGGACACAGGGTGTTGACAGTGCTTTCGTACCACGGGTCTGCGCGACCCAGGAAGGAAGCCAGCTCTCCCAGCTCAGGCTTTCTGGATGCCTCTGGATTCTGGGGATTTGGGGGATAAGGGGACAGACACTCCTGTCAGACCCTCCCCTCCCAGTCTGGGCACCCCAGATACCAAAGTCCAGTGCTCTGTGACCGTGGTCAAGTCATCTAGCCTCTTGGGCTCAGTTCCTATGCTGTGTGAAGACACATTAGTGCTCTGTATCATAAACTCAGGGGAAGCAGAAGAGCTTTGGCTGAGGGTCACTTGTCTGTGACACTGAGGAAACACTGGTGGCCTTTAAAGGGCAGAGATGAGCATTGCTTGGCTCTTGTTCTGGGTGAGGATGAGAGTGGATACACCCCACCCCCACCCCCAACACCAGTGAACTCTAGAGATCTGCCTCAAACTTTCTCTCCTGTGGAGGGAGGGAGGGGAAGTCCTCTCATCAGATGAAAGCAAAGAATTTCAGTACAGCTAACAACATGCACTGTGAAGACTATCTAGAGAGACAATATTCCCTTTTCTGAAAACTACCTCAAGCAAAGACGTTAAAACAACAAGTGGACCGTGCTTGCTTGGGGTCAGAATGGATGTGGCCTTGAATTTTAGCTGCATCTGCGCCTGTGTTGACTTCATCTCTCAATTCTAAGCCTAAACAGTGCAGGTTGGAAAACCAGCTTAGAGTCGGCCTCACTTACTAGAGGAAATTCTCTCGGAGTAAGTAAAACCACTCGGAATGTTTTTCATACTCTTTAAGCTTTGGGTAATTGTTTGCTTTGTGTTTAAAACCAACCCCCTTTGAGCAACATCATGGGCACAGACATGGTGAAGGCAGGGCAATGCTCTTGAGAACTCTGAACCCAAGCTTTGGGTGTGTGGCATCCTTGTCCTTAGCCTCCCTCTCTCTCTCTCTCCTGAAGCATGTACTCTCTCATCTCTACTTAATAAACTCACTAACCCTCCTTCACTCTGGCTCATCCTGTGGCGTAGTCAAGGTCTGGCTTCACGGAGCGGAGGTCCCCAGCGTCCCTCAATTCGCTGCTCAGCACTGATAATTCCATTACAAAGACACGAGGGGGTCCAGCAGAGGGGGGCTGCTGTGGCAAAACCTGCGTCTTGACTTCTGACCTGGAAGACTCCTTCCAAGTCTCTCTCAGCTCCACATGCTGAGGTAATGTTCTCGACCCTGAGCCAGGGAGCCAGGCTGCTTGTGGTCCCCACCCTTCCCTCTCTTCTCTGATGAGACCATTGCTCCTGACCCTTCTATACGTTTTCATGGTCCCCTTGGCCCTGGCCCTCCCTGTTCGGTCACCTGAGGCGCCAGCACAGGGATGTAGTAGAGCTGCAGGCTGAGTCTAGGAGTGAGGCAGAACTTCTTGGCTTCCCGTTTCCTGGCAACAGGCAACAAGGTAGAGTGGGTAAGAGCTTGGGGTTGGGTGTAGGCATCAAATAGTCTCGGCTTTGCTGTTTATCATGCGTTGACTTTGGATAATATATACTGGCTTTCTGAGCCTCTGTTTACCCATTTATGAGATGGGAACAGTTGTCATTTCCTGTCAAGCTGAAGGCTGGGCACTGGGGATGCTCTGCAATGTTCTTCCCTACCCGCCCCAGCCTTTCCTCCCGTCCCTTTTACCAGCTCATTCCAGACCCATCCACACTCCCAACAACTCCAGTTCCCAGTCCCTCCTCAGGTCCTACCTGAGTCTGTAGTAAGCCTGGGCCAAGCGACCCAACATCCTGTCATCTCCCAGTATGAGCACACGGGCTGTATGCACCCTGGAGACTCCAGGCAGTAGTGCCCCGTCCCCGCTGGGCCTGCCGGTCCTCCGATGCAACCCTGGGGGTCCATCCCAGCTGCCAGGCATGGAGAAGTCCGGGGGCCACACACGCTTCTTGATGCCCCCCTTGCGCTGCAGTGCAGCCCGCTCCATCTCTGAGCTGCTGGAATCTGGGAGCTCGTCACTCCCCAGAGGAAGGTCCCGCTCAATACCACTGTCAGTGGACACCCTGGCCAAGTCCCTGCCTGGCCTGAGTCCTTGTAGATCCAAGGCCTCCAAGTCAGCACTGAGGCGCAGCTGCGAGCGGGGACGGAGGAAGAGCACCAGTTCCTTCCCTGGGACAGGACAGGGGAGTGTCAGGAGGACAGGGACAGCTCCCCAGAAATCTGGGAGCCCTCTTTCCTAAACACTGTCCACTTGAACAGAAGCCCCATGGGACACTCCACAAAGGAGTGTGGTCAACAATGGTCCAGGGTTCTATGTACCCCAGTTCCCTCTCATTGAGGCCAATAGATAAATATATTTCTTCTTTTTTCTTTCTTTTCCTTTCCCCTTCCTTCCTTCCTTCCTTCCTTCCTTCCTTCCTTCCTTCCTTCCTTCCTTCCTTCCTCCATCCCTCCCTCACTTCCTCTCTCCCTTCCTCCTTTCTTTCTTTCTTTCTTTCTTTCTTTCTTTCTTTCTTTCTTTCTT